TCATTCTCAACACATTATCCAAGCTCTACCAAATCACACAAAATGTTTCATTATTACGTGAGGTCAGGCAAAATGTTTGTTTTTATTTCTTCACATAGGATGGTCAGGCGACACCGTAGTTCAGTTGGTAGAGCTGTTGTCTCCCAGCAAGAAGGCTGCCAGATCAAATCCTAGCTAGAGGGGGCCATTCTGGGTGGAATTTGCATTGCATGTTCTCTCCGTGCATTGTGGGTTTTCTCCAGGTACTCCGGTTTCCTCCCACAGATCAAAAACATGTATGTTAGACTGATTGGTAACTCTACATTGTCTCTAGGTGCAGCGTTTCCCCTATCATCGTAAAAGCGGGGTGCTCAACCCCGTTAACAGAACTGAGCACCCAGCCTACCAAACCAAACTTGCCCCCACAACTGGCACTGACATAGCACTAAGCTAGCGACGCAAAATACAGGCTCTCTAGCTAAAAAGTTAAAGGTGCCTCTTTCCTCATGCTGAACGCCCCCCGCCCCCACTCAAAAACTGTTGGTACAAGCTGCACTCAGACATGTCTCCGTCCCTCCCCATCAACAAAAATCATGGATGAGATGAGCACCCCGCCATGGCAAGTAAACTAGGGGAAACACTGGGGTGAGTGAGAGAGTGAATGGTTGTTTGTCTTGTTTGTCTCTATGTGTCCCTGTGATGGACTGTAGACCTGTCCAGGGTGTCCCCTGCCTCTCACAAAGTGACTGCTGGACATGAGCACCAGTGACCCGAAAAGGAAGAATTGGTTAAAAATAATAGATGGATGAAAGACTCTGTCAATGCTCAACAAAAGATGATCTCTGTTTAATACTCTAACATGAAAGGCAGCAGGTGACTTGCATTCCTTTAATCTCCAGAGTATTTTCTAGTCATTTCAGTCAAATTCTGAAACGTTAAAATTTGTACAAGAACAGCTACAGAAGATGAGTCTGAGCATTGTTTGTTCATAATTGTGTGAACCAAGTTTTACAGTTTTTAGATATAACTAGATATTTTAATGGTTTATTTATTTTTTGGCATTTGAAATAGAATTCGCCAATTATTGCTTGGTTTTTATGTGATTAAAATTACAAAAGAATAATAAAATTAACATAATATTTGGTGAATATGTTTGTTTCAATTTGTGTACATTAGTTTGTAAAATGATTACAATGACAAAAAAGGGAGAATTAAAAGATTAAATGGTAAATGGACTGTACTTATATAGCGCCATTCTACCTTATTTCAAGATACTCAAAGCACTTTACACTACAATCTGTGTCCTCATTTACCCATTCATACAGCACTCTACTAGATCTCTACAAAGCTAATTGAACAAATCATTCTAAAGAGACTAATCAGTGCTTTAGATCACATTCATACACTGATTGGACACACATCAGAGGCAATGAGGGGTTCAGTGTCTTGCCCAGGGACACTTCAGCATGTGACTGCTGGTGGATTCGAACCCCCAACTCTCGCATTGGAGGACGACTGCTCTAACCACTCAGCCACAGCCACCCCTTAAATTAAAAATCCATTGTTCTCTAAAAGATGTGTAGTTGGGACATTGCCATGTACAAATTTAGACCCCATCCCTAAACTTTGGGTCAAACTTATTTATTGCTTATGAAAAAACAAAAGACTTATATTTTTGTTTGGATATGATACATTTTAATAACATTTTTCCCAATTTCCAGTTTATTACCATTAATTTCCATAAATTGCCAGAGAAAATGTTCAATTTGGAATACAAAATTGTTCAGCTAAAACCTCCCATGGAAGATTTCTGCATGTCGCTTGGACTGCCGGTACACATCAGCTGCTTCCGGGGTCCCACAGGCCAAAAAGGCCCAATAGGACTCCTTCTTCAGCCTGACAGCATCGCTCACCGACGGTGTCCACCACCGGGTTCGAGGGTTGCCGTTGCGACAGGCACCGACAACCTTGTGGCCGCAGCTCCGGTAAGCCACCACGACAATAGAGGCACAGAACATGGCCCACTCAGACTCAATGTCCCCCACCTCCCCCGGACCATGTTCGAAGTTCTCCCGGAGGTGGGAGTTAAAACTCCGTCTCACAGGAGACTCTGCCAGACGTTCCCAGCAAACCCTCACAATACGTTTGGGTCTGTCAGGTCTGACCGGCATCCTCCCCCACCATCGGAGCCAACTCACCACCAGGTAGTGATCAGTGGACAGCTCCACCCCTCTCTTCACCCGAGTGTCCAAGCCATATGGCCGCAGATCAGATGAAACAATGACAAAGTCGATCATCGAACTGTGGCCTAGGGTGTCCTGGTGCCAAGAGCACATATGGACACCCTTATGCTTGAACATGGTGTTCGTTATTGACAATTCATGACGAGCACAGAAGTCCAACAACAGAACACCACTCGGGTTCAGATCAGGGGGGCCGTTCCTCCCAACCACACCCCTCCAGGTCTCACTGTCATTGCCCACATAAGCATTGAAGTCCCCCAGCAGAACAAGGGAGTCCCCAGGAGGTACACTTTCCAGTACTCCCTCCAAGGACTCCAAAAAGGGTGGATAATCTGAACTGCCATTCGGTGCATAAGCACAAACGACAGTCAGAACCCGTCCCCCCACACGTAGGTGGAGGGAGGCCACCCTCTCATTCACCGGGGTGAACCCCAACACACAAGAGTGTCCAGCCCCTCTCAAAGAAACTGGTTCCAGAGCCAGATCCATGCGTAGAGGTGAGTCCGACTATTTCTAGCTGGAACCTCTCAGCCTCACACACCAGCTCAGACTCCTTCCCCACCAGTGAGGTGACATTCCACGTCCCAATAGCCAGCTTCTGTAGCCGAGGATCAGACTGCCAGGGTCCCCGTCCTAAGCCACCACCCATCCCACATTGCACCAGACCCCTTTGGCCCCTCCCACAGGTGGTGAGCCCATGGGAAGAGGGACCCACGTCTCCTCTTCAGGCTGTGCCCGGCCGAGCTCCATGGGTAAAAGCCCGGCCACCAGGCGTTCGCCCGCGTGCCCCACCTCCAGGCCTGGCTCCAGAGTGGGGCCCCGGTGACCCACGTCCAGGCGAGGGAACATTAAGTCCATTTATTTTACTCATCATCGGGGTCTTTGGGCTGCATTTTGTCTGGTCCCTCACATAGGACCTGTCTGCCTTGGGTGACCCTACTAGGGGCGTAAAGCCCCTGACAGCATAGCTCCATGGATCATTGGGACACTCAAACCCCTCCACCACGGTAAGGTGGCAGCCCAGGGGAGGGCTGTTTAAATGTGATTTATAAATAAATCTAACACAAAGATGGTAATAATTTAATGATTAAGCTTTAACTTTTAATTTGCTGGCAAAGTCTGAGTGAAGACACTGCATAAATGTCAGGATGAATTGCATTTAAACAGGAATTTAAGTAATTTAATACATCTACTGAAATGTGCGCATTTAAGTATTTTGTGTGTGTGTGTGTGTGTGTGTGTGTGTATGTAATTGCTCTTTGAGCTACTTTTGCCCTAACCTACCACTGTAAGTAAAACGAGGCATTTCTTGAGTTGCTGTAAATTATGCTATAATACATATATACTCTTTCATTCCAGAAAACAGTAAACAATGACAGCCTTCATAATGGAAAGACATCATGCACACCACAGCAAGCAGCTGTCTTCACTGAAAACATCCTTAAATGATCATCACTGACACGAGGCCTCTGTCGACGGTTGAAGACGAAGGCTTCACTGCAATGATCCACACTTTGAATCCAGGTTACACTCTTCCTTCAAGGACAAATTTTACAAAGTAGCTGCATAATGTGCAGGTATAAAGCATACATTTGCATACCGGTATATTTTTGTATACATTTATTTTTTATTGAAACTATTTGACTAACTTTTTTATTTTTTTATTATTCAATATTTTACTAACAGAATAGTCAAGTAGCAACCTGTTTTTAGTGCGAATTGCTATGTCAGTCAAATGATCGATTTTGAAATAAAGAGGTGGAAATTCAAACATTTGTTTGTTTGTTTTTGTCGATTCATCGAAAAATAATTGACCGATTAATCGATAGTTGAATAATCGTTAGTTGCAGCCCTAGATTAAACGGCCATTCGGAATAAAAATGCTTCATGTAAACGCCCCGTTCGGGTTATTTTTTGTTTATTTAGCGCGATCCGAAAGAATTTATGATCAGAACGAAACGGGTGGTTTACACCGATTCATAACCTGAACGGTGTCCATGTTAACACTTAATCTGTTCATTTTTTCCTATTGTGAAAAACTGACCTGACTGCGCATGTGCAACCTATGTCATTTCTGCCTATAATGCTAATAATATTAGCATGTCGGGGAAGCAAAACTGGTCGGTGAGCGATAATACATTTCTATTAGAAACTTTGAAAGAGCTCAAAATAATCTGTATTACCTGTAGCTCAGTTAGGGAGTGCAGTAACGTCTCCACCATCATTAAAACCTGTTGCGGGTCCATTTTGAGCACTCAGGTTTGTTTACGTTCATCCCGGAAGTAAACCAGAAGTAGAACTTCTTTTTCTGTTTTTTTTTTAAGGAAAGTTTATCACCGTGCGCATGTCAGTACTTCTGTTCAGAATCAAACCCCGCTTCATGTAAACGCTCGTTGTGAACAGATTGTGCCCATGTAAATGATACATTTGGATTATGTTATCCAAATACATTTCAATCCAATCAAAGAATTTTGCGCATGTAAACATAGCTACTGTCTCAAAAATTGAATGAGTTGCCATTTTTTGGGTCTGTTAATGTTGTTAAGCTGTTGCAGCTATCTGAAACTGAGTTGATAATTTTACATCCGATAATTACTTTTTCAGAGTTTTATTAAAATCAATCCAGTGGTTAATGAGATTTTTGGCTAACAGACACATGAAAACACACATACAAGCAAAAATATAATACAGTCATCATTTGTGGCAGGTGATAATAATGGAACAGGTTTGCTAGAAGGACAAAATTTGATTTGAACAGATAAAATGACAAATCCTTACTGAGTGTGCATCCAGGAGTGCTCCAGCTTCCACCCTGCATTGAGCTCCCTGGGTGGTGGTTGGTTGCATAGCCTTGAAAGGGGTGAGGGGCGGCGTAGGCCTGTCGGTGGAAAAGTTCTGGGTCTGGGTGGGATGACCTGGAGCTCCCATACATGAGGCTAAAGAATATATGTTTAGTCTGTGGGAGCTTTATAATCACATTTTTAACAGTAAAATCAGTTTTTTATGACCAGATGTTTACATTTACTGTACAAACAAAAACTTTTTTTTTTTGCACCGTCTGACATTAAATCAGACCTTTGTTGTTTTAGGGCAGTTAGGATTCCAAAATTACTTCTACTGTATTTGTTAAATGAAATGATGAGGAAAAAAAAGCTTTACTTTCTTTAAAATCACAAATTTACATCGTTTTTCTTAGCATTTGGTAGCATTGCTCTTAAACCAGGACTTGGGTCAAATGTTTTTTTCAATAAACTTCTCACAATAGTTTGAATTCTGTCCCATTCCTCCTGACAAACCTTGTAGAACTGAGTCGGGTTTGTAGGCCTTCTTGCTCAAGCACCTTTACAGCTCTGCCTACCTAGACCCCAAAACAAAGACAAAAATCCATGGAGACATCCTGCAGTCTGTTGAAACTAAAATTAACTGTTGGGCTAAAATGACTATTGTTACATTTGGAGAAAAAAGGGCCTGTAAGCATGAAAACACCACCCTAACAGTTAAATATGGGGGTAGGAGCATCATGTTGTGGGAGTGTTTACTGATGAAGAGACTAGGGCACTTCACAAAATAGACTACATCATGAGGAAAAAACATTATGCTAAAATACTTATGTGGAAAGCCTCTTTGAAGCAATATCTGAAAAGACTTCAGCCTGGAAGTTAAAGCTTGGACACAAATGGGTCTTCAAATGGAAATTGACCCAAAGCATATTGTCAAATTATTTACAGAGTTGTTTAAAGACCACAAAGTCAGTGTTTTGGAGTGGACATCAAAGCCCTGATCTCAGTCCACAAGAAAATTTGTTTGAGCCATCTTGTTTTTTTTTGTTAGCAAACAGTGTATAAACCACTGAACATGTTTTAGTGAAACTTCCAGACAGACAGTAATTACTGGATGTACATCCAAATAAAATAGATTTTGGAATCAGTCCAGTTCGAGATTATTCTTCTTCTTTCGGCTGTTCCCTTTTCAGAAGTCTCCTCAGCAAGTCATCTTCTCCATCTCATTCTGTCTTCTGTGTTTTCTGTCCTCACTCCAACTATCTCTATGTCCTCTCTAACTGCACTCATATGTCTCCTCTTTGTCTTTTTCCTGGCAGCTGCATTTCTAGCATCCTTCTACCAATATACCCACTGTCCCTCCTCTGGACATGTCCAAACTATCTGTGTGGCCTGTAAACTTAATTCCCCTATAGTTGCTACAACTCTGTACATCACCCTTGTTCTTAAAAATGGGCACCAGCACACTTCTTCTCCATTCCTCAGGCATTTTGTCACCCTCAAATATGTCATTGAATATTTGAGTCAAAAACCTCACTGTCATCTCTCCAAGACTTTTCCAAACCTCCACTGGTATGTCATCAGGTCATACTACCTTCCACTTCTTCATCTTTTTCAATGCTTTCCAAATTTCATCCTCAATAATCTTTCTCACATCCTGATTTACAGTTTTATGACCTCTACTCTTCTTTCTCTTTCATTCTCTTTATTCATTAGCTCCTCAAAATACTCCTTCCATCTTCCCACGCTCTCCACATTACCATTTCTAGCCTAACCTGCTGCTCATCTTTTTCAGCCTGATTCTTCTGGCTTTGCCAGTCGATACAAGCCCGTCTCTCCTTCCTCAATGTCCACCCTCTTGTTCATCTCATCATACAACTACTGCTCTGCCTTTGCTACCACCCTCTTTGCCCTACATTGTATCTACTTAATTTCCTGTCTACTCTCTTCAGTCCCAGTGTTCCATTCATTTTTTTCTACCCTCTTACTCTGGATACCTGCCTGTGCATCACTATTCCACCACCAGGTTTTCTTATCATCCATTGTCCATGGTGTGTCCAGGTGACACACCATGTACCTGTCTCTCTAATTGTTGTTGCTGTAGTAATCCAGTCATCTGGAAGCTATTTCTTACATCTCATAGCCTTTAACAACTCATCTCTGAACTCCTCACGACATTCTTCATTTCTCAACATCCACCATTTGGTTTTCTTCTCTGACTTTACTCTTTTCCTTTTCTTCATCACAACGGTCATTCTACACACCACCAATCAATGCTGTCTAGCTGCACTCTTTCCTGCCACAACCTTACAGTTCCCAATCTCACTCATCTTACATCTTCTGCACAGAATGTAGTCTCCTTTCTCCATTCTTATGTCCCCCTATATTTCTCTCTCTCTCACTCTCTTTGAAATAAGTATTGACTACAGCCATTTCCATTCTCTTGGCAAAATACATCACCATCTGTCCTTCCAGGTTCCTTTCCTTGACACCAAACCTACCCATCACTTCCTCATCCCCTCTGTTTCCTTCACCAACATGTCCATTCAGGTCTGCTCTGACCACCACTCTCTCCTCCCTGAGAATACTCTCTATCACTTCATCCAGATCCTTCCAGAATGTTTCTTCCTCCTCCACATCACATTCAACCTGTGGAGAATAACCACAATCAACAAAACACTCAACATCCGACCTTCTACTACTACCTACACTACTACTACTCTCTTTATCTTCCTAGCCTCCCTGATATTCAACCAATAAAAACACAGGATGGCCTTCCACCTGGAAACTAGCAACTTTGCCTCATTTGCTATGCTATATGCTTTATGCTATAAACATGTGACTACATTTCTTTGGTTCGTAGTAGCTCCAGCAATTTTCTGCTGTCAAGACCACAGATGGAGTCAGTATCTTAAACACTATTTTGAACAAAGACAATACTAGAGTCACGGTGAGTTTATATTTTTATTTATTTAAAGTTCTTGATTAAGAAATAATTTGATTTTTTAATATGAAAGATGTATTAAAGATTGGCTCCCAACACCTCAAGTTCAAAGTTGCTGTGACTGGTAAGTTTGTCTTGAGACTTACTCGCTCCTTCATAGATGTATCTTTATAGCTGAATTTACATTGCAGCCTTGACACTTAATTCTGGATTTTTTTGCCTATAAAATTTTTAATCTATTTATGTATGTTTGTTTTGGTTTGTTTGAGTGTTTATTTGTTTGTTTACTTGTTTGATTGCTTGGTTGAAAAGAAGTAGCTGTTCCAACACAAAAAGAGTGTTGTTGTTTTTTCTGTTTTACGCATTTTATGTTCTGTTCATATTTCCATTTACTGTTGAAAGTTTTCTTCATTTAAAACATATTTACAATAAGTTATAAAATTTAAAATATATGTTATTTGTAAGTGTGGCACGGTGGCGCAGTTGGTAGAACTGCCACCTCGCAGAGAGAAGGTCACCAAATTGAATCCCAGCCGGGGGGCTTTCTGGGTGGAGTTTGCATGTTCTCTCTGTGCATGCGTGGGTTTTCTTCGGGTACTCCAGTTTCCTCCCACAAAACAAAAACATGCATGTTAGTCTGACTGGTAACTCTAAATTGTCCCTAGGTGTGAGTGAGAGAGGGAATGGTTGTTTGTCTTTATGTGTCCCTGTGATGGACTGGAGACCTGTCCAGGGTTTCCCCCGCCTCTCGCACAGTGATGGATGGACGGATGGATGGAGAGTCTTGACATCAATTCTCAGGGCTTAATCTCTTTAATGCTATCCCTCTCTCTATGAATACTGGTGATACTTATAGTGACAACCTTTTTTGTACTAGTCTTATATAAATCCATTTCCACAGTCTGTATTTCTGCTGAAGTCTAAATATATTCAAGTTTATCACACTTGTAGAAAATCTACCTACATATCAAAACTGTCCTTTCTGTTGCAAGTTTAAGAAACAGTTTTTAATCAGCTTCAGATTTTTATCTGCCAACAACTTTAGTGAAAAAAATCCATTCAGATTTTAAACCAGGCCACAGCACAAAAACAGCCTTTTTAAAACCTTTGTAATGATCTTTTGACTGTTTATTCATGAAGTGATGCTGTTTTAGTACTTTTAGACATTTCTGCTGCTTTTCATACTATGGACTGCCACTGCCAGGCTTGAACAGGTGGTTGGTATAAAAGCCATGATTTTATCTTGGTCTGGAGCCTACATAACCAACATGAGTTTTTCTGTTCACGTATGGTAAATAGTAAATGGACTGTTATATAGAGTCTTTCTATCTTATTTCAAGATACTCAAAGCACTTTACACTACAATCTGTGCCTCATTTACCCATTCATACAGCATTCTACTAGATCTCTGCAAAGCTAATTGAACAAATAATTCTAAAGAGACTAATCAGAGCTTTATTACATTCATACACTGATGGACACACATCAGAGGCTATGAGGGGTTCAGTGTCTTGCCCAGGGACACTTCAGCATGTGACTGCTGGTGGATTCAAACCCCCAACTCTCGCATTGGAGGACAACTGCTCTAACCACTCAGCCACAGCCGCCCCTGTTCCTCTTAGCTCCTCTGAGGGATCATACAAGGTCCCATGGTGTTTTAGCCTTTGGGATTCATTTTTAGAAAATATAGCATCCTTTTCCATTGCTTTGGTGAGAATATCCAGGGTTATCTGCCCATTAAGTCAGCCTGCCCAGGGTCACTTCACTGGAACCACTCTTGAACTGGCTAAACAATATTAAAATCTGACTGAAACTAAATTTCTTGAATCTATTTTAAAATTTATTAGATTGTTGGTAACTGTTTTAATTGGATAACCTAGTTTCTAGAAACAAAAGATGATATAAACACAAAGCTATTTAATTGCTTGTGTGTATGTAAACTGACAGTAAAATGTACTAAACGGCACCAGATTCTTGCCTGGGGTACCTGGCTAAGGCCGGCAGTGGTTGTAGATGTACATCCAGCAGTTACTTCATGCAAGTTTCATCAAAATTGAACCAGTGGTTCAAAATGTATTTTCCTAATGAACACAAACAAAGCTTTATCACCCTCCTTCCCCCACTTCTAGGTGATGAAAATCAAAAACCTTGCAAAGAAAAGCTGATTTCTTCTATATTTATTTGTGACTTGCTGCATTTCTTCTAATAAAGCAGTGACTGTTATGAAACATGAGATGTGTATCTATAGGACTGGACATTGGATAAGTCACTAATCGGTTTAAACAAAACAAAGCAGCCAGCAAATACATGTTTAAATTTGCTCTTATCCCAGATTTAATTTCCACTAACCTTGGTTTTGCTTTCTGTAAAGTTATTTTTTCTTAGTTCCCTTTGTTTGGCTGTTTCCAGTGCTGCTGTGAAGGTATGTGCTCCTCAGATGGAGTTTGACTGATGTGGTTGTCAAGGCGACCAAAGCTAACACCAGCTAACATTAGCATCGGAGTCGAGGCCGCGCCGTGCTTATATTTCACATAAAATTAGACATTTTTGTCGTCTCCCGTCACCGATAAGACATAAAGGCTGCTCCTAGTTCGTTATTAAACACCGTGAGAGGCTAATTCGTCTCTGTACTAACCTGAGCTGCACACCGTGTCCTCCTGATGCTTCTTCATTAAAACATGCTATGCTTCTGTTAGTCCGTTTAATTTGCGTGACAGCCCGGTCACGTGACCTCGCTGTAAAGTATTGTTTACTAATAAGGGCTTTGCGCCCCCTCCTCCTTTACCGTACATCTGCGTGAGTTCACGCGCTTCTCCACACCTGGGGACGAAATCTACATCAACCACGAGAGGGTTTCTGTTAACCTGGCAGCCGATTCGTGCACCACACCGGTTCGGTTTTCTGAGACACACTGGCGCTGCAACCTGTCACGGACTGGTGAAGTCTTCAAAAAAAAAAAGCAGCGGGACAAAAGGTGCAGCAAAGACAATGTAATAATGCAGCCTGCATGTAAGCTTAAACACATTGTTATTATTATTATTATTATTATTAATAATAATAATAATATATTACTATTAAAGGCTCAGCTTCATGCAACCCATCTCCCTTCGTATCATTATTAACCGTCCACCAGATTCCATGCATTTAAGTTGGAGACAGCTCCCCTCACTCCCCCTCCCTCCTCCTCCGGATGGCTGGCTCTACCTGAGCCCGGTGAAGCAGCTCGTGCAGCCGCGGCAGAAAACTGGGATGTTCGGTATTGTTCTGAGCCCCCCCCCCCCATCATCATCATCATGTTCTGGAGCTTACCTCGCCTTGGCCGATCTGTCGTAAGTCCATCCCGTCCCAGCCCCGAGGTCTCCAAATCCTGCTGCGGGATAATTCCTCTCCATGGAAAGACCCGGCTGGATGAGAATGGATGGATAGCACGCGAGAGAGAGGGAGGGGGAGGGAGGGGGGAGGGAGGACGTCCTCTCTCCTCAGAGCTCGAGTCTGTTTATTTCTCTGCTTGACGAGCCTGTAGACTCGGAGGAATGAGGAGGAGAAAGAGGGAGAGTCACAGCAGCCAGGAGCACCTCCTCCCCTCCGCCCCCTTCATATCCGCTGCCTATTGTCTGTGGAGCTGCTGAGCCGCAGCGCACATGTCGCTGCGCCTTCACGGCTGCTTCAGCATGGACCGATTCTCACTCAGTTTGTCCCCAAGACGCCATTTTTTTTATAGAAGGGATTGACTGGGCTAGCTTACACGCACATACACACGCACGCACACACACAGCGTGTGAACATCTGACTCCTGGAACCGGATCATCTGCGTCCTCCTGAACAGGAGCTTGGTTAGATGGCCCCACAACAAATTGCCAGGTGGGTGGGGGTTGGCAGGAGGGCTTTTGAAACAAAGTTATGGGACATTTGCTTCTTGGACAAGTTTTCTGTCGAGTTTGGGAGGGGACTTAAACTGGAAAGTGGACTCCTCTGTGTAGCTGCTGAGAAGGTTTCAGGCCATTATGGAAGAAGTTGATCAAGGGACAGAGGACAGGGACACCTCCGACAAGCACGTTTGCTACTAAAGGCCAGTTATAGACAGATAAATTTAAATACATATGTAGCCTAAACTAGGACTTACACATAGTTTTCAGATGTCTGAGTGCAAATAAATGCAGAATCGCTGCTGTAAAGATCATCCATGGATGAAGAGTAAAGGTCAAACTGTTTTAAATGACACGTCAAATGAGCATTTAGGTTCAATTCAGTTTATTTATATAGTACCAAGTCACAACAGAAGTTGTCTCAGAAAAAACTTTCACATACATACAAAAGCCATGAAGCAGTAGATTGTGTTGAATCTCCACTTTGTCACAGTCTCCCATCCTGAGCAAGCACAAAGGCGACACTGGAAAGGAAAAACTCCCTTTTAACAGGAACAAACCTCCAACCAGACTCGGGACAAGCAGCCATCTGCTTCGACCGGCTGGGTTTGAGAGGACAGAAAGGAGAGACAAACACAAAATGGGAAATCCAGAATGGAGGCGAGCAGGTCCCTCTCTAAGACAAAAAAACAATAAAAAACATGTTAAGATAGAAATAATTACAAATACAAATTATTAATTTCTATTTATTTGTTGAGTCAGTTTGGGAGTGGAGTTAAAAAATAAGAAAATGTGAGGAAATGATGTCACTTTGTCCTCCAATTGTCTAAACCTATAGCTGCATAACAAGCCAACCCTAACTATAGGATTGATCAAAAAAGAAAGTCTTAAGCCCAGTCTTAAAACTGGACCATGTGTCAGCCTTATTGACAGAAACTGGAAGTTGGTTCCACAAGAGAGGAGCCTGATAACTGAAAGATCTTCCTCCCATTCTGCTTTTGAAAACTCTAGGAACCGCAATTAAGCCTGCAGTCTGAGAGCGAAGTGCTCTGTTAGAAAAAATATGAAACAATAAGACATGTGATATAACATGGATCTAGGTTGTTGAGAGCTTTGTAGGTTAGAAGTAAGATTTTGAATTCTGTTCAGAATTTGACAGGGAGCTATGGAGAGAAGCTAAAACTGGTGAAATAATGATCTCTCCTTCTCCCATTAAAACTCTGGCAGCAGCATTTTGGATCAACTGAAGACTTTTCAAAGAAATTTTTGGACACCCAGATATACTGTACATGTCTTCAGTCTGTCAATCTGTCAGTTGGCAGTATTTAATAGGTTATAGGTAGTCACTGTACTGTTCGGTATCATGGTGTGAACCACACTGAGCATAGAGCACAGAACTATGGACAGAGCTGTCGCAGGAGCTTACAAAGAAAATTAGTGAGCAGCAACTTAAAGCTGAAGGCTATAGGACAATTTTCAAGCAGCTTGATGTTCCTCTTACTAAAGCTGGAACAATAATTCAGAAATTTAAGTCCACAGGATGGAGACAAACTTCCTGGATGTGTCCATAAGAGGACAACTGATATACTGAAGAGAACTGAAGAGACTGATAATACAAATGAGCCCCGGACAACTTGCCAAATAAGAGATAAACTCCAAGGTAAATGGTGAATGGACTGTACCTATTTAGCGCCTTTCTATCTTATCAAGACACTCAAAGCTCTTTACAACACAATATGTGTCCCCATTTACCCATTCATACAGCACTCTACTAGATCTATACAAATCTAATTGAACAAATCATTCTAAAGAGACTAATCAGTGCTTTATCACATTCATACACTGATGGGACACACATCAGAGGCATTGAGGGGTTCAGTGTCTTGCCCAGGGCCACTTTGGCATGTGACAGCAGGTGGAGTCGAACCCCCAACTCTCGCATTGGAGGACGACTGCTCTAACCATGACCTGTGACTGAGACCAAGTTGTCTGACGCTGGACAGGAAACGATTCCAGAATTCCTTGATATTCTTGAGTTTTTGGTATGGTATGGTATATAGTTTATTCATTTTAAAAAAGTACAAAACAATTCCATAACAATATAAAAAAAGATACAAAAGATTTAAAATGAAAGGCAGCAGAAAGAAGAAAAAATCTTATTATATCTGCCCCTTTTTACAAACAATTATTTCAGACATAATAATTTTCAAGTAACAGTACAAAATGAATAACTTTCTAATTTATCTAATTCTAATACAAAACACACACTAAGCTACTTCATATATACTTTTTTAACAATTCAGTTTTGATTTTTTTCTTAAATGTGCACATTGACTTGGCATTTTTCACATCACTCTCTAGACCATTCCACAATCCAACTCCTTGGATTGAGGTAGACCTTCCCTTCAGACTAGTTCTGAATTTTGGTTTAACAAATATCTCTATCCCCTTAAGATTGTAGCAACTTTGTCTTTTAACAAAATTCCTTTGGATATTTAACGGTAATGTGTTATTTTGAGCCCTATACATAACTGATAAAATACTGTAATCTACCAAATCATGGAACTTCAATAACTTCAGTTGATAAAATAATGTGCTTGATGGGTGACAGTAATGCTTTCTGGTGATAATTCTTACAGCTCTTTTCTGTAAAATAAAAATAGGTTTTGTAAATGTTTTACACGCTTTCCCCCAAACATCAATGCAATAGATTAAATGTGGAACAATGATTGTGTTATACAACATGTACAGAGCTTTATCATTTAATAATTCCCTGACTTTGTATAGTACTGCAATAGATTTAGATATTTTTGTTCTTACAGAATTTATGTGATTTTTCCATGTTAGCTGTTCATCAATGATTACACCCAAAAATTTCATCTCATTAACTCTACAAATCTCAACACCCTCAATTTTAAATGGATCATCAACAGTTCTCTTTTTGTTGCTAAATATCATGTATTTAGTTTTATCTAAATTTAATGATAATTTATTAATTTTAAACCAAGTTTGTATTTTATCAAATTCTGTCTTCATCAATTCCAACATCCGTTTTACATCTTTACCCAAACAGAAAAATGTGGTGTCATCTGCAAAAAGGACACATTTGAGGAGTCCTGATACATTCACTAAGTCATTCACATATAAAATAAATAACTTTGGGCCAAGTACAGAGCCTTGAGGAACTCCACAAGTGATATTGCACAGGTCAGATCTTACACCATTTATTTGCACAAACTGCTTCCTATCTTTTAAATAGCTAGATACCCAGTGTAATGCTTGTCCTCTTATACCATATTTATTTAATTTTTCAAGGAGAATAGTGTGATCAATAGTATCGAATGCTTTTTTTAAATCAACAAAAATACTAACACAATACTGTTTTTGATCGACAGCAGTAGTTATTTGTTCCATTATTTCCATGAGAGCCATTGATGTAGAGTTTTTTGCTCTAAACCCATACTGACTGCTACTTAGAATGTTTTGTTTAGTAATAAATTTATCTAATCTGGTCACAAACAGTTTTTCTAGAATTTTTGAGAATTGTGGTAATAAGGATATTGGTCTATAATTATTGAACACACATTTATCACCATTTTTAAAGAGAGGAACTACCTTTGCTACTTTCATATTGTCTGGAAATATTCCTTTTGAAAATGATAAATTACAAATATATGTAAACGGCTCGATAACATAACTCATTATGTCCTTTACAAACATCATATCCATGTCCACCCAGTCTCTTGATCTCTTATCTGTAAGATTTTTTACTACATTCATTATTTCTTCTTTGTCAGTTCCATTAAGAAAAATACTGTTGTCACAACCTATAACTGAATGTTTCACATTATTGTCTACTTTTGGTATTTTAGCTGCAAGACTTGATCCAACGTTCACAAAATGATGATTAAATCCATTTACAATTTCATTTTCATCATGGATTTCATCGTCATCCTTCAAAAAATATTGTGAAATACCTGTTTTTGCTTTATGACTTTTCAGAACACTATTTATTACTCGCCATGTAGCTTTCATATCACCATTGCTTTTATTTAATAAATCACTATAATATTCCTTCTTGTGTTTCCTTATAATCGCTACTAATTTATTTTTATACTTCTTATATTTCTCTTCAGCCTCTTGTGTTCTCAATTTCAAGAAACATGTATACAAATAATTCTTTTTTTTACAAGCATTTCTCAACCCTTTCGTCATCCATGGTTGATCAACAACATTTCTCTTTGTACAATTATTTTGCACACAATTCTTTTCATACAGAGCTCCCAAAATATTCATAAACTCATCATATGATCTGTTTACATCATCAACATACACGTCTTTCCAGCTTTGTTTATGTAAATCATC